CGTACAGTATTACAGTATTTTGTTTTCCACAGTACCAGATTGACACTGGGTGGGTGACAAAATCAGCATTTCATTGGTTGGGGCTAATGGAGAAGGAAAAAGAAAGGAAGTAGGTTTTCATGTATTAACATTTTATTGACTAAGAGGATGCTTCTGAGCCAATTAAAGATCTCCCCCATTGGCTGTTGCTGGGGAAAAGCCAAAATCATTGGCAACAAGAGTAACCAGCTGACAGCTGGAGGAAACCATCAGTTCTAAAAATGCTGAGAAAGAAGGAGGGGGGTCAGGAGGCCAGAGAGCAACAACACTGAACACCTTCCCCAGAATGGACCTTATATGGGGACAGGCCCAGTATACTAAGTAGCTCCAGGAAGGAAAGGCAGGGATAGGAAGTGGATTTATGCATCTTTCACAATTGATCAATCAGCAACAGGCCCCACAAGCTTACACAGGGGCACACTCTGACATACACACATCCAAGTTCATAGAGAGATACATGATACTGTAGATGCAAATATTCATTGAGAAGATAAACAACTTAGGAATTTTACCCTTGGGTCCACCATTGTGGGTGGGCTAAGTCTCTGCCTGCAATGCCAACATCTTATATGGGCACCAGTTCGAGTCCCGGTTGCCCCACTTCAGATCCAGCTCTCTGATAATGAATGGAAGATGGCCCTGCACCCATGAAGGAGACTAGATGATACTCCATGATCCTGGCTTCCATCTGGCTCAGTTCTGGCCATTACAGTAATCTGGGGAGTGAACAAGTAGATAGAAGATATTTCTTTCATTTGCTCGCTCTCGCTCAACTGCTACTCTTTCTAACTGCACTTTAAAAAATAATCTTGGGCCAACAAGTTAATCCTCCACCATCTGGTGCTGGCATCCATACAGGTACCAGTTTGTGTCCTGAATGCTCCATTTCTGATCCAGCTCTCTGCTTATGGCCTGGGGAAGCAGAAGAGGACAACTCAAGTTCTTGGGACGCTGCACTCACATGAGACCCGGTAGAAGTTCCTGGCTCTGGGTTTCAGATCTGCTCAGCTCCAGCCATTGATGCCATTTGGGGAGTGAACCAGTGGATGGAAGACCTCTCCCTCTGTCTCTTCTCTCTGTAAAATCTGCCTTTCAAAAAAGAACAAATGAGTCTTCAACAAAACATTAAATGCCCTGAAAATAAGTATGAAGAGTAAAATAAATTAATTGATCTATCCTCCCACTGAGAATTGTTATTTCACTTATTTGTTCAATAAATAAATAATTGGATTGTGTAACCAAACCCTACAATGTTAGAAAATAGAACCAAGGGCCTAGCATGATACCTCAATGACTAAATTCTCACCCCATATGGGCACTGGTTCGTGTTCCAACTGCTCCACTTCCCACTATATTGTTCCCTGCTTGTAGCCTGGAAAAGCAGTCGAGGATGGCTCCTGCACCAGTGTGGGAGACCCAGAAGAAGCTCCTATCTCCTGGCTTTGGATTGGTTCAATTCTAGCTGTTGTGACCACTGGGGGAGTGAAAGAAAGAAAACAGAACTAACCAAAACCTTGCCATTATCTTACAGAGTAGCAATTCTTCATTCAGCCTCCCAGACAAAACAGGCCAAAACTAACCTGACCATGAAACCTGCAAACTGAGGTTTGCATTGTGGTACACAGGGTTAAGTGCCACCTATAACTCCAGCATCCCAATTGCTTCCAGTCCAGCCTTCCTGCTAATGCATCTGGGAAGGCAGCAGACAGCTTAACTTCCTGTGTTCCTGCTATCCATGGGAGAGATCCAGACAGAGTTCTAGGCGCCTGGCTTCAGCCTGGCCCAATTCTGTTGCAGCCACAAGGAGAGTGAACTGAGGGTAAAATATCTCTTTCTCTGCCACTTTGCCTTTCAAATAAATAAAAATTTAAAAAGAAGTTATTTATTTATGAGGAAGAGACAGCCAGGGGCTGGGAACTTGATCCAAGTCCCCTCACTGGGGGCCAGAACCCACTCATATGAACCATCACCACTGTCTCTCAGGGTCTGCATTAGCAGAAAGCCAGAGGCAGGAGCTGAAGCAGGTTTTGTTTCTGTTTTAAGATTTTTTTTTTTAATTTGAAAGTCAGATTTACAGAGAGATACAGAGAGACAGAGAAAGATCTGCCATCTGCAGTTTCACTCCCTAAATGCTCACAAGAGCTGGAGCTGGGCCCATCCAGAGCCAGGAGTCAGGAGGCTTCTTTGGAGCTACCACTTGGATGCAGGGTCCCAAGGGTGAGGATTAGGGTTTTGGGCCATCCTTGACTGCTTTCCCAGGCTACAGGCAGGGAGCTGGAAGGGGAAGCAGAGCAGCTGAGATTTGAGCAGCTGGGGATGGGCGCCTCAGATGGAGGCTGAACCTGTTAAACCATGGCACCAGCCTCTGCAGCCAGGTATTATCTCCAGGCACTATGATATGGGACACGTGTTTTCATTAGTGTTTTTTAAATTAGAAAGGCAGATTTACAGAGTGAAGGAAACACAGAGAGAAATCTTCTATTAGTTGGCTCATTCCCCAGATGGCCACAATGGCTGGAGCTGAACCGATCTGAAGCCAGAAGCCAGGAGATAGCAGCTTCCCTTGGGTCTCCTGTGCAGGTGAAGGCCCCCAAGGCTTTGGGTCATCCTGTGCTGCTTTCCCAGGTCACAAGCAGAGAGTTGGATTGGACACAGAGCAACTGGAACATGAACCAGCGCCCCTATGGGATGCTAGAGCTTGAAGGTGGAGGATTTAGCCATTTAGCCATCGCTCTGGCCCCTTCATTAGTGTCTTAAGCAAATAGGCCAAATACCAAGCTTAAAGCATCCATTTTTGATCTTGTAATGTATGAAGCGCCATGTAGCTGACCTGCATAAAGGAGAACCAAGAAATTTTCCTCCCTTTTTAGAGGGAGGGAGTGAGGGTGAGAGGGAGACAGGAGGGACCGCAGAGAGTGAGCAAATTCCCATATGCTGTTTCACTGCTGGAATGATTGCAATAAGCCAGCACCTGGCCAGAGTCAGGCGCTTTATTCAGGTGCCCTGTGTGGGTGCAGGGGCTCAAAGACTTGAGCCATCCTCCGCTGCTTTTCTTAGTCCTTAGCAGGGAGCTGGATGGAAAGTGAAGGAGCCAGGTCTTGAACCGGTTTCCATGTGATATGCTGGCATTAGAACATGCATCACAACACCAGCCCAAAGGAGGGATTTATACAGTGCCTGAGCAGGAGAAGCCAATGGATGGAAGGAAAATTGCATCAAGGGTAGGGAATTTCTTGCCTAACAGGAACAAGATTCCTGTTGACCTCAGGTGACAGTGATTAGATGTGGGGGGAGGGAAAGGTTTCTTGATAAACTGACTTAGCAGGATTCCTCTAAAACTTGTTAGACCGGCCCAAGGTCAAGACCTAATAATAAAGGAGACTCAGTGCAGCCTGTCTAAGGTTCAGTTCAGGAGACAGGTTTATCAATACCAGAAAAATGAAAGTGCCTTGATCTTTTTTTTTTTAAAAGATTTATTTTATTTTTATTGGAAAGGCAGATATACATAGAGGAGAGACAGAGAGGAAGATCTTCCGTCCGATGATTCACTCCCCAAGTGAGCGCAATGGTTGATGCCATGCCGATCTGAAGCCAGGAGCCTCTTCCGGGTCTCCCACGCAGGTGCAGGGTCCCAAAGCTTTGGGCCTCCTCGAGCCACAGGCAGGGAGCTGGATGGGAAGAGGGGCCGCCGGGATTAGAACCGGCGTCCATATGGGATCCCAGGCGTGCAAGGTGAGGACCTTAACCACTTGAGCCACCGCGCCTGGCCCTTTTTTTACTTTTTTAAACTCAAGAAGGAAGTGGCAATGTTGTAACTGGTACAAGAGGAAACCTAGAGAACAGACCAGACACACTTTTTTTCAGATTACAAACACAAAAATGAACAGGAAAATAGAGAACCAACCCACCATACCCAACAATGTAGTAAGTTAACTGAACTGTAGCAGACAGGACAATTTACATGCAGGCCAGTTACCCACACCGTGTGGTAGTTGAACGCCCATGAGAACAGAACCTTATCAAATGAAAAGAACATGCTTATAGACAAGCCCCTGGGGCGCCTTACTGTCACTTCTGGGCAGTTTTCCCGGACTCTCCATGGGTGAATGGGTGTCATTTCTGAGTTATCCTTTGTCACACTATATTGTTCACATCCCTCCATCCTCCATGCACCCATGTGTCTTTCTAGGGCAGACACGGAGTTGATCCAGCCTTGTATTGTGTCCCTGGAGCCAACATCAGCTAAGGTGCACAATATGGCAGGAGGCAGTGGGAGCCACAAGATGAAACATGTTGCACACCAATGTGCAACTCTGATATCTGGGGAAGCACATTTTTATATTAAAGCAGACGCTGCTCTTTCCTCCACTTTCAATGTTTCATTGTTTCATTATGCAACCGATTCTGTTTCAGGACCTGAAGAAAACCAGGAACAAAGTGCAACGTTGAATCTGATCAAGAAACGATTTATATACTAAAGTGACGCCAGGCTTTAAGAAGTGCCGCTAACATAGCAGGAGAGGGACTCAGCCAGCTGCGGCTGCGGCTGCCACTGAGGTTATCTGAAACCCAGAAACTGTCCCGTCGGCCTCTCGGTCGGTTTCGGGCCTGAGGAGAAACCAAGGACCTGAGTTACTGATTGCAAAATTCTGAAGGGTGGAAAATGGAATTCCACCAGGAGTCTGCAGAGGAGTCTTCTCTCCTCTGCTCTCCTTCGCATTGATTCCAGCACCCAGCTTCCCCCGCAACCGACCAGGAACGACCGACCAGGCGCTCGGACCCCAACCCCCCAAAAATCAGACACTGGGACCACCGAGCCCTACCGGCCCTGCTGCTCCGCCCCCCAGTCCCGCCCCGTGACGCGAGGCCCCGCCCGCAGCGCCCGCTTCCAAGATGGCTGCAGCGAAACCTGCCCGGCTGTTGGGGTGGCGGTGATGACGGGGAGAAGACGAGGTGCGTGGGCTGGGGACGGTGGAGGGATGAGGCCCCGCAGAAACGTCCGGGCGGTCAAGAGGGTGAGAAGTTTGAGATAAAGGCTAGAGACAACCTTGAGCAGGGACTGGATCTCAGATGGAAATCTGGACGGGGGGCCGGATGGGCTCAGGCTGCAAGGTAGGGCAAACGCAAGAGGAGATGAGCCTGGGCAGAACGTGCTGCGACCCGACTGGGTTCTAACCCCCTGCAGAGCGCTGACCACGCCCCTCCAGGTGAGACCGCCCAGGTGTTGCCCCCACCCCCTATCCCGGCTGCCTCGGCCTCAGCTCCCTCTCTCCCATTCTCCTTGAGCAGCAGCGCTTTCCTCATCCCCTCTCCAGGACAGGGAGGGTAGGGAAGATAGAGGACTTCACCCCCACCTGCTCCTGCTCCCCCTGCACTCTGGGACCGATTGCGTGCAGGTCCCAGGTGGTCAGGCACCCTGCACCTGAGGAACTGGCTCCCTAGCAGGTGAAGAGCGGAAGAAGCCTGTTTTCTGCTTCGCCCTGAGTTCTCCTGAGGCCGCGCCACAGTCTTTCGGATTGGGGTTCAGTCTCCTCCATTAGCTGCCGTGTCCCCAGACAAATGGCTTGTTGGAGTTGGGGTAGGGGGTGGTTAAGTAGGAACCTGATTGCCGCTCTAGGATAGCACGAGGCAGGAGGAGGCGAGTGTTCTCTCGTAGTCTGATGCTTTTGTTCCAACCACTTTTCCCTCTTTCCCTCACTTCCCCTGCTGAGAAACCACCTGCACCTTCTTCCTGATCTTTGCCCAGGCAGGTGGCTGGTTATCCATAACCACTTCTCTTGCAGCTGGCCCAAGATTCGCTGTGGGAGTGCTGGATGGGGCCTTGCTCTGTCCTGTGTGACATTTCCAATTCTAGATAATGCCTCACATCTCTACCCCCCCGGACCCCCCTGGAGTCCCCATGATCCCCAAGAAGACAGCGTGAACCTAGGTGAGTCTATCTCTCCCCCCTCACACACACACACACTCTACAGTCAGAAGAGGGGTTCTCCAGACACTCTTTGACATGGATTTGGGGACTTAAATGATGTAAGCATTCTTGGGAAGTTGGTTACTGAGTGTAGTTGGTGGGAGTGGCTGGGGAGAGGTGGGGGAGTCAGACTTGGGTTGGGAGTGACTGGTGGCAGGGCAGCTGGTGGTTACACTGTTTCCCTTGTATGGTTGTGCACCTGTCCTGTAAGCTCCTTGTCTGTACCTGTTCTTGACCCTGGACATCACCCTCATCCCTACTCACTGATTGCCCTGCTTGGCTTGTTGGCTTCCTGCCCACCCCCAGAGCTCCCCTCTCTCCTTCCCTAGACCTCAGCCCAGGATGTTGCGGAGGCTGCTGGAGCGGCCTTGCACGTTGGCCCTGCTCGTGGGCTCCCAGCTGGCTGTCATGATGTACCTGTCACTGGGGGGCTTCCGAAGCCTCAGTGCCCTGTTTGGCCGAGAACAGGGCCCGACCTTTGACTATTCTCACCCCCGTGATGTCTACAGCAATCTCAGTCACCTGCCTGGGGCTCCTGTTGCCCCAGGGGGTCCTCTGGCTCCTCAAGGTCTGCCCTACTGCCCTGAACGGTCTCCTCTCCTAGGTGAGTGTCAAAGAAAAGGGGAATCAAAGGACAGGCTGCGGGGCACAGACAGCCTGGGGCAAGCATGGAATGGTAGGAGTGGAATGTACTCTGATGGTGGGCTGGGAATAAGGTAGAGGTGACTGAATGCAGAACCTCCCTGCCACCCCCTTTGTTCTGGGTCACAGCGTTCCACTGCCTGCCCATTTATGGGCCCTTGCTGCTCCAGGCTAGGAATTATTTCCCTTATAGATGAGCCCTGGTTTAATGATTTAGTTGGAAGTCCTGTTCTCTCCCTCCCCCAGCTGTAGATTCCAACCTTGTGAGGCAGAACATTACACTGAAATAAGAGGACAGAGGAGGTGTGTTGTCCCAGTGATGGGGGAACCCAAGCTTAGGAGATTTCTAAGTGAACCCCAGAACACAGCCACTAGGGCACTGTTATTCATTCTTTCCTCCTTGTCCTTCGGGTCCCTGACACTGCCCTTTCTTCCCAACAGTGGGTCCTGTGTCAGTGTCCTTTAGCCCGGTGCCATCGCTGGCAGAGATTGTGGCACGGAATCCCCGGGTGGAACCAGGGGGCCGATACCACCCAGCAGGGTGTGAACCTCGTTCCCGGACAGCCATTATTGTGCCCCATCGTGCCAGGGAGCATCACCTGCGTCTGCTGCTCTACCACTTGCACCCCTTCCTGCAGCGCCAGCAGCTTGCTTATGGCATCTATGTCATCCACCAGGTACCTCTGAGCACCACTCCATACTCTTTCCTAAGGAAGTCACTCTCATGGGTCGCTGGAATAACTTTTGGAGGTCAAACTGTTGACTGTGGAGAATCAGCTGCCCTACTCTTCTAGACTTGGTTTTTGTTTTTTAAGATTTATTTATTTATTTAATGGGAAAGTCAGATACACAGAGAGGAGCAGAGACAGAGGAAGATCTTCCTTCTGTTGATTCACTCCCCAAGTGGCTGCAGTGGCCGGAACTGTGCTGATCCAAAGCCAGCAGCCAGGAGCTTCTTCCAAGTCTCCCACACAGGTGCAGGGTCCCAAGGCTTTGGGCTATCCTCGGCTGCTTTCCCAGGCCACAGGCAGGGAGCTGGATGGGAACTGGGACTGCTGGGATTAGAACTGGCACCCATATGGCATCCTGGCACGTGTGCAAGGCCAGGACTTTAGCCACTAGGCTACTGTGCCAGGCCCCAGACTTATTAATCTCACACTTCTTATCCTGTTTGGGATATCCTCACTGTCCCATGCCTTTCCTTGATTTCTCCTTTGTTGAGTAACTTGTAGTAGATTTGGTCTAAAATGCTAGTTCTGCTGAATGTGTCATGGGTGACCTTGAGCAAGGTATTTTACTCTCTTAAAAATGAGGCAAAGGGCAGTAATTTACTAGCTGTTCCACCTGTGGGTAGGTTGTCAGGCACATACTGATATGCAAGAATTTGTTTAATGACTAATGGAAAAAATGAAACAGCTTGCCTTGCTCGTCATCCGGCTTGCCCCGCTCTCAACTTTGACATCCTCTGAATGCTTTTTCTCTTCAGTCCTCTCTTCTCAAGGCTAACAAAGACATGGCCTGATACTCTTCCGCTGTCGTCTTGTAGGCTGGAAATGGAACATTTAACAGGGCAAAGCTGCTGAATGTTGGGGTGCGAGAGGCCCTGCGCGATGAAGAGTGGGACTGTCTATTCTTGCACGACGTGGACCTCCTGCCAGAAAATGACCACAACCTGTATGTGTGTGACCCCCGTGGGCCCCGCCACGTTGCTGTTGCCATGAACAAGTTTGGATACAGGTAGTGGGAGGAGAGGGTGAGAGGGAGGGGGGAGGGGAGCCCAGAGGACTGTGGGCATGGATGCCTCCCCAGAAGGCTCGAGGATTAAAGAATCTTTCACTCTCCAGCCTCCCGTACCCACAATACTTCGGAGGGGTCTCGGCGCTCACTCCTGACCAGTACCTGAAGATAAATGGCTTCCCCAACGAATACTGGGGCTGGGGTGGTGAGGACGATGACATCGCTACCAGGTCAGACTTCCTGCCGTCACCTCCTTTCCCATCCCAGCCAGGGGTCCTGTCCTTTAAGGCCATCTAGAGCCATAGCCCTTCAACTCCTCGGGCTCCAGGTCTGGCACACCCTACACTCGGCCCGTTGCTTCCCCTTAGCCTTGGTCTACTCAGTCAGGCTTTGATCTGTCGGTCTGGTGGGTTATATGCATGGGAGAGGTGTGATTAGTAGGAAACAGTGTCAGGCAGTCCAGAACTGGAAAGGGGCTTGAGACAATTTAGTCCCCCTGCCCAGACTGCTTCGTGAGGCGTGGAGGTGGGGGTGAGCAGCCGCTCTGATCTGTGTAGCTCAGAATCACTTAAAAAAAAAAAAAAAGGTCTTGCCATTGGCATGAGGCCAACTCTTTTTTTTTTTTTTTTTAATTTTAGCATGTGAAACATTCTAACCTTCAGCCTTAGCTGACCTAGATTCATGACTGTGGTGTGAATACTTGTGCTTGGTATGCTGGAACTGCTGCGTGCCCTCCCCCCTTGCGTCCTCTGGGATGACATACCAATGTGAATTCCCATCCTCTGAATGTATGCAAAGCACCCAGCAAACGCCAGATGTGGTCATTCTTTCAGTTCCTAGCCAGGCTGCCTTCGCTTCTCGCCCTGGGTATCAAGAATTATTTAGGTCCTGATTATCCAGTTCCATTAAATATATATATAATTTATTTTTATCTGCTTGAAAGAGCAATACAAACACACAGTGAGGGCCCGGCGTGGTAGCCTAGTGGCTAAAGTCCTTGCCTTGCACACACTGAGATCCCATATGGGAGCCAGTTCGTGTCCTGGAGGCCCCAGTTCCCATCCAGGTCCCTGCTCTTAGCCTGAGAAAGCAGTTGAAGATGGCCCAAAGCCTTGGGACCCTGCACCCTCATGGGAGACCTGGAAGAGGCTCCTGGCTGCTGGCTTCGGATCAGCACAGCTCCAGCTGTTGCAGCCACTTGGGGAGTGAATCAGCAGATGGAAGATCTTCTTTGTCTCTCCTCCTCTCTATATCTGACTTTCCAAGAAATAAATAAATCTTAAAAAAAAAAAACAAACAGTGAGAGACGGCAAATGTTCCATCCATTAGTAGATCTTTACTGAGGCCAGGCCAAATCCAGAAGCCCAGAATGCCATAGGTCTCCCATGTGGGTGCAGGGACCCACGTACTTGATCAGAAGTGGAGTAGTTCGAATTTGAACCGATACTCCAACATGGGATGTGAGATACAGCCTGCAGGCTTCCAGGCAGCTGTTTAACGTGCTGCCTCACAACACCACTCGCCCCTTAATTAATTTATTTATTTTTTAAAGATTTATTTATTTATTGGAAGGTCAGATATACAGAGAGGAGGAGAGACAGAGAGGAAGATCTTCCATTCGATGATTCACTCCCCAAGTGAACGCGATGGCCGATGCTATGCTGACCTGAAGCCAGGATCCAGGAACCTCTTCTGGGTAACCCACACAGGTGCAGAGTCCCAAAGCTTTGGGCTGTCCTCAACTGCTTTCCCAGGCCACAAGCAGGGAGCTGGATGGGAAGTGGAGCTGCCGGGATTAGAACCGGTGCCCTTATAGGATCCCGGCTCGTTCAAGGCGAGGACTTTAGCTGCTAGGCCACGCCGCCGGGCCCTCGCCCCTTACTTTAATATGGTTGTTGGGGTAGCTCTGTCAGTGTTCCAAAGAATTACTGAGCTTTGATCTGCCACACTCAGTCTTGTCCTATCCTTTTAACAAAATGGCCTCTCATGTCCTTCCTACAAGGGCAGCTCCTGGAAACTGTTCAGGAGGCCACATTATGAGGTACAGACCCACGCCTGCCAGCTGTCCCAGGGTCCCAGCACCGGGCCTTGAGGATCCAAACATCCAGCCTTGACATAGCCTCTTGCTGTTTCCTTCTCTGCTTGATTTTCTTCTCTCCTTCACACCTTTTCTTTTAATTATTATTATTTAATAACAAGATCATTCATTTTTCTCTTGTTTATTACAGAGGCGAGGGTTTGGGGATTGCAGACCCATGTGGGCCTCTGGCAGGGATGGAGAGTTGGGGAGCAGAAGGGGTGAGGGAGCTGCGTGTGGCAGGGGGCATGCCACTCCTTGTGGTCAGATTACATTAGTGGCCAGGAACGAGATGATCTGTGTTGCCACCTCCAGGGCCTAGGAGGCGAGAATACCCTGGGTTGGGGTGTTGAGTGGGCATGGTATTAAAGGTGACATATTCCATCTGTCCTCACAAGAGCTCACTCTCCTTCTCTGTAAGTTCAGGGCCTGTTAGTGGGCCACATCTGCCTCAGAGTGTCTACCCTTCACATCTTTTCCACCTAACTGGGAACTGCATTGCTCTTCCTGTACAGACACATGTAACCCCTTCCTTGCTGGCCTGAGCTCTGGCTGTCTGCCTGTCAGCAGCTCTCGTCCCCTGGCACCCTCCAAGAGCCGCTCCCTCTCCCCACAGGGTGCGCCTGGCTGGCATGAAGATCTCTCGGCCCCCAGCATCTGTGGGACACTATAAGATGGTGAAGCACCGAGGAGATAAGGGCAACGAGGAAAATCCCCACAGGTAGGGAGGGAGGACTGCCGGGGAATGGCTACTGGAGCCACAGGGCTCTGCTGCCCCGGCCAGGAAATTCCTAAAGAATCCTGGTTCTCCCTTTCTGGGTCTCAGTCTCCAACCTCTAACCCTCAGATTTGACCTCCTGGTCCGGACTCAGAACTCCTGGACACAAGACGGGATGAACTCGCTGACATACCGATTGCTGGCCCGAGAACTGGGTCCTCTTTACACCAACATCACCGCAGACATTGGGACTGACCCTCGGGGTCCGCAGGCTGCTGCTGGTCCCCGCTATCCGCCTGGCTCCTCCCAGGCCTTCCGACAGGAGATGCTGCAGCGCCGGCCCCCAGTCAGGCCCGGCCTGCTACCTACTGCCAACCACACAGCGCCCAGTGGTCCACACTGACTTTCTCCTTCCTGTCCACCTTGATCATGAACCAGTCAGAGGGCTTGCACTGCCCCGCCCCCCTCAGCCCCTCATATCTCTCAGAGGGATGTGAGGACATTGAACTCGAGTGCTCTGCCGGGAGCCTCGTACTGCTGGACTGGAGCTGGGCTCCTCTAGACCTGGGTGGAACGCCCTCCTCCTAGGGTCACCTGCCAGGGTTTATGACTGTGAATCCTTGATGTCATGATTTTAAGTGACAAGTCCCCGGGGGTCCCTGGGCCCTGGGATAGGAGCAGGGCTGGACCCCGAGCCCCTTCTTCTTCTTCCATGGAGAACAGTCTCTTCCATGAGCAATCTGGCTTCTCCTGGGACCTCTGTGAATATTTATTCTATTTATGGTTCCTGGGAAGTTGCCTGGTGAAGGAAGCCCCTCCCAGGGCACCGTCTGCCCGGGCTAGAGCAGCTGCCTCTTCTGCTCCTGACTCAGGGGGCTGGGATTTTGATATATTTTCTAATAAAGGACTTTGTCTTGCCTCTGCTCCTGCTTTCTACATCCCAGGCAGACTCTACCAGCCTCTATCCATCCCCCCACCCAAACCTACACACATTCTGTCCTTATGCCCTCCAGGGACACAACAGCCAGACTGAACTATATACCAAGGACTTTTTATTTTCCTCATTGGGAGCTTGGGATCAGCTCTTGGCTTCTGTGCCCAGGACACGGATTGCTGCCTGGCGCCCGCTCTCTATACAATCATTGACAGCAACCCCTTCGTAGGAGGCTCCGGCCAGAGTCAGGGGCAGCTTCTGAGCAGCCAGGAATTGCATGGCTGACTCTGGAAGGAAAGGAGGAGAGGAGTGTTATAGTCAGGGGTCTGATTTCCCATACCCTCCTCAGCCCAGCTGCTTTCCCAAACTCACCCAGTTTTTGCCAGTGTCCTAGTGTATACTGAGGGATGCAGTTCTGGGAAGAGGAGAGGATATAGGGGAAAGTTTATGACTGAGGTCCCAGGCCTTGGCTGACAGCTGGTGACAAGCATACCAGTCCCTGGCCAGCTCACCTTGAGGAGATGCACCAAGCAATGACTTGGTGGTTCCTTCAGCCCTAACTGTGTGGCGGCTGCTTCCTGGGCCTGCTGCTGGAACAGCTCCTGAGATAAGACACGGCCACTGGCCTCAAGCTCGCGTAGCCAGGAACCGCCCAGCATCACCTAAGGGAGGAAGCAGAGCACTGACCCGGCCTGAGCACGGGTGGAAAGGAACCCTCTGGAAATTCCACTCAACAAGTTTTCTTTTCTCACAGTCACTCGGAGGCCAGGGGGACTCCCATCCTGCTCAGGGAAAGCCACTGAGTCATACACGATTCCCAGGATGCCTGGGTCTTCTGAGGATGGCACCAGATGTCCAAATCCCTGGCGGGAAAGAAATCCGTGGGTTAGGATGATAGGGCTCCCGGGCACCCGTGTTGCAGCCCCTGTCCTCCAGGTCCTACCTGCACAGGCAGCTGGGCTCCTTGATACTGCAGATTCACCACCACCACTGACACGGCCGTGATGGTGCTCAGGACGCGAGCCAGAGGCGCGGCCTCAGCAGGCAGCAGTTTGCTCAGTGCTGTGGGAGACCAGAGGAGGCGCAAGTTGGGAGGAGTCCCCACTGCCGTTTCTTTGGAGTTCAGCTCCCATTGGGCTGGCCAGTTCGTGGGTGCGGGGTGGTCCCAGCCCAAGAAGGTTATAGCCACAGCCTATGTTGAATGGAGAAGGCGAAGGTGGCGATCCTGTTACCTGGAGCCGGAATGGCACTAATAATGTGGTCAGCCTCCAGACTGCTGTCCCCAAGAGACACCTGAGAGGACGAAAACATTGGAAAGAGACACAGATCATAAGAACTCAATTTCTGATGCATTCGAGTGGTGGGACAGCCTGGATCTGGACCCAGGAAGAAGACACTGAGTGACTGTGTAGTCTGCACAAAAACACCCCTCTGATCCTTGGGAGGGGAGGCCAGACAGCAGTCAGCAGTGAAACTGCATGGTCCCTTTCCCCCGCACCTCCCAAGCCACCTCAAAGCACAGCTTCTAACCATGCACATGCATTGAAGGGATTCATGAACAAGGCTCAGGAACTAGAGGTAGCCCATATCTGAGCAACATCCAAGGCAGCAAAAGCAATGAGTAACTCTGGGCCTCTCAGCCCTAGCCTGATGACCCACTCAGCCACAGAGAGATACACTGATACAAGTTAACCAGGGAGCAACCCACCTTCCAGCGCCCTCCTGCCTGGAGGCTGAGCCCACGGACTGGCTGGCCTTTGAGAACACTGACTCCTCGACTGGTGAGGTGGGTGTTGAGGGCCTGGGGCAACGTCTCCAGTCCACCCCGGAGTGACCACTGGCTCCAGCGTTCCGCCCGGGCCTGACGCACGAGTTCTGAGTCTGGCAGTGGACTTCGTCCTGTGGTGAAACAGAAGCAAAGGACCATGAGGGTAGCAGCCCTTGCCACTCCAGCCCCTCACTCTGGCTGTCCTTAAATCCACGTGTCCCTCACCTGCCCCCAGTAGCAGCCCCAGGAGAACGGAACGATGGGTTTGCTCAGCTTGGAAGAGGCTGGGAAAGCAAGACCTGACGCTGAGCTCACGGCTGTCGCCTGCAAACACTCCGCGGCAGAGGCTGTCCATGGCTAGAGATGCCACCTTAAGGGTGAGACTGGAATTGAGAGGCCAAGGAATGAGCTGAGCTCATTTCCACAGCCCCTGATTACTAGGGAATGGGGGTGGGAGGGTTCGACTTGCAGCTTCCCCACCCCTCTAACAGAAAGAAGGGAAGAAGCAAAGACATCCACTGCCACACTGCTTGGAGGATCTTCTGGACATGAAGAGGAGTGGGTATCCCCAGGTGGTACAGCGGAGCCCTTAGGGGCCTGGGTCTGAGCAGGGATCCCTGCAGGAGGTTTCAGAGGGGAGAGGCATGGGGCTCCGAGCAGGGTCACCTCAGGTCCAAGGCGGCGCTGGGCGAAACTGTGTACCGTCTCATCAGGCTCTTTGCCCCGGGGACTGGTCAGCTCCCTCAGACCAGCCCACAGCAGAGGTTTGGAGAAGGGGGGTGAAGGGCGCAGGAGCCCCCTGCGCGGAGGAATGCACAGTGAGGAGGAGGAGGGGTTACTCGTGGTTCTCCCCTCCTCTCTCAACACCCACGCCCAAGGGACCATTTCCCTTCATTCTCCGCTATTGCCTGGCAGGTTGACAAGCCAATAAAGAAATGAAGGCATTTGAGGGATGTGTAAGCACCTTGCGCAGTGAGGGAGTGCCGGCGTTACCTGAAGCCACTGGGGAGGGCGTGCAGAGCACCGCCCACATACAGGAACCTCTTCCGGGCAGCTATATGGTCTCCGCGGACAGGCAACACTTCAGAGTCCAAGCCAAGCTCGGAAATCTGCTCTCCACACGCCCTCGGGAAGGGGAGAAGCTAAGGCAAGGTCTCACCCACCAAGTACACACGCCTTTTCCCGCGACTCCTTTGCCTGGCGAAAGCCCCTCCACAACCCCGACGCCCCGTGTCTCTCACCAGGAGCAGCGTCCGAGCTCCCAGCGCTCCGGCCGGCCGAATTCCCCGAGGTCCAAGCTCAAAGATGGCACCACCCGGCCCTCGGACTGAGCGGATCCAGCCCCCCAGACGCTCACTGCCCTCCACCAGGACCACCTGGCAAATGAGAGGGCGACACTGCGGCCCCACCTGCAGTGGCGGGGGTGCAGGGCGGGCCAGGATCCACCCAGCTCTGGCTGCAGGGGAATGCTCCCTCGCCAACGGGTGAAACACTCACCTTAGGGGGGCGCGGGGCTCGGCTCAGGTGGTAGCTGGCGGCCAAGCCGCTGATGCCTCCGCCCAGCACGACCACAGTGCGACCCATTGGGAAGCCTGCGGGCAAGGGAGGACAGACGTACAGGCAGATCAGGGTCGCCCCGCGCTCCCGTCGGGCCCGCGTTCCAGGCCGGCCACTCACCGTTTCGGAGGAAACCCGGGAAGCGCGCGCGGGTGGCTCAGTGAAAGCACGAGGTCCCGGCCCAAGGGCCCGGACTCCTGCACGAGAGGCAGCAGAGTGGGAGCAAACCAGGCGGTGTGGGCCCTCCAGCCTCACCCCGCCGGCGCTCACTCCACCGGGCGGGCGATAGGGGCCACACCCACGCTATCGGGCTCTGCAGGGCTCCTGCAGGGATGCGGACGACCCGCCCCCGGGAGGGGTCAGCCGCCCGAGCCTCACCAGGCCAACAGGTGCTTGCAGCCCACTGCTCCCGCCCCCAAGCCCTGCGGCCCCTCCGACTCTCCGTCCACCGGATTCTCGCGACACGCCCCCGTCCCTGCTTTTTCTACCTTGGGATTGGTGGATTCCGAAGGCCCTGACTTACATCCACCAATGAAAACACGGAAGGGACGATGACTCCGCCCGACGGGGCAATGGGGGCGTGCCGGACTTGCCTTGTAGAATTACAGGTTAACCGCTTTGGTGCCAAACGGGAGAAGAGTGGCCATAACCTACCCTGCACTTGGCGTGGGGGGAGCCCTCGTGGGGCGGGCTGAATCCTGCATTCTCCCGTTCCAGCGTCCCAGGCAGATCCAGATAAGGGTGACAGCCCTGGAGGCAGGGCCTCATGAGGTTTGGTTGTATAGAGAGAATAGATAGGGACACTGGAGCCAGTCCTCAGGGAGGTGGATCCACAAACAGCTTTTTGATGTTAGCAACAGATGGGGCCTACGGGAGACTGGGCCGCCCAGCAACATACTATGTTTATCAACAGGGGTTCTTGGGTGTCTCCCCCCATGGCCCCAAGCTTCCTGGGAGCTTCCCGGGCCTCCCCTGCATTCCTTCTTTCCCTTGCCATGTGAAGACCTCACAAGTGCAGATCCTTCCCAGAGCCTTCCCCCTGCACTGTGAGCCATCCTAACCTGCTCAGGGGGTCCCAGAAGGCCCTTCCCGCCATCCCACTGGACCCAGTATCTCCATCCACCAGACAGACATGCAAACATGGATATAACTTTTTCTTAATAAATTTATTCACAAAAAGTGAGATTGCAGAGGGTCGGGGGCTGTACACGGGCTAGGGGCCTGGTGAGCTCTGTACAGGGAGCTGGGAGACAAGGGAGCCTCCAGGGAGAAAGGGTACTTTTTAATAAAAAAAATAACGGGAGCTAAAGCCACCCCCTCCCCCCACCTCCCTGATTAAAAAGACACAAAAATAGACGTCTCTGAGGTAAATGGGGTGCCTAGGGCTTAAGGGTGTTGAAAGGGTTTCACAGGTGCCAGGGCTTGAAGGGGCAGTCACAGGCACCGGGGCGGCTCCTGCATCAGCTGGTAAAACAGCACGTAGCCCTCACTGGAGGCCACCTGGTTTTCACTGACAGGGGAGACACTAGGAAGACAAGGAGAAAGGGCTCGTGCCACCTCTGTGTCGTCTCTCCTCCCCACCAAGACTCCAGCCCAGCACATCCACGGGAGACCGACCCCAGGGCACCCTTCACCTGGGACTGACTGCTCACGGTGGCCCTCCCAGATGGGGAGGGGGTCAGGGCTGCCCCGGGGACCGACAGAGGTGAACAGCGGGCTGTTCTCACCGAGAATCATTGTAGACGTGCCAACCAGTCTGGCACCGGCACAGGGCTGTGTAGTGGCCATAGTGGACGCTGCCCGAGTGGTTGCAAAGGGCATATAGCTGGTACACAGGGCTTCCTGGGGGTGAGGAGGTTAGAGAGGATTCATTAGCAATAGAGCAATGCCCTCCCCCATCCCCTGCCCTGACAGTTCCAAAGGACCTTCCCCACCAGACTCACCGGCCTTGTCACTGGCGAAGTCTCCCAGGCTCAGTCGCTGCAGTGGGAAGTCGACACCTACGGAACTTTTCTTGATGGAGCCTCGGGAGGTGGAAAACCGATTGAGATCTAAGCCCTGGTTAAGGAATTTTTGGGAGCTGGTGGGGGTTGGAGGGGGTGGTCTCTAACGGGGGCTGTGGTCTTGAATACTGTCCACCCCCTCCCCCAACACACACTGCAAGTGCTGGAAGGAAGGGGGCAGTAAGCTTTCCCCAGTGGCCAGCCTCTGCGAGGGAGTATATGGGACAAACCCTAAGAGAAAAAGAAACTGACGGTTAGGATATGGAGCACGAGGATTCGGGGGAACCTTTGTACTGTCAACTTTTTGGTACTCCGGGTTTTCTGCCGACATCGGTCACACACCTGGATAAACACCACAGAGTGTTAGGTCAGCATGCTCCTCGCGCCAGCTGGCTTTTCTGACACCCCAGTCCCCACGGGAATGTAGCATGCTCCCCACAGCTCTTGCATGCCCTGAGCCATGCCCCTTTGTTCCCTCGGACCACGGAGTGCTGGGATGTACCATGTGAGGGCTTTCCACACGGAGGCATCATGCGGTGCCTTTTATCTAGGAGTTCCCCCTCCAGTCCCACCCTCTTTACAGCGTGACCCTTCCACGTACTGGGGCATTCTCCAGCTCCAGCTCTTCCTCCTTGGTGAAAAGGCTGAAGCAATCCCGTAGAGACACCTTGCCCCCAGCAAATCCTTTCTGCACGGAATGGGGGAGGGTAGGTCAGTGTGCTCTCAGTTTCCCGATTTTTCTTATTTCCGCTCCAGATACCCACAGGAGGCCTGCCTGCCCACACTCTGGGGGTGGCTAGGGTTGGGTCACAGAACCCATGTCCCATCCACCCCTGGAATCCTCTGGAATCCCACCTTGGGGATGGGCAGGGACAGGTCACAAAAAACCTCGAAGGTCGTGGAGCGATACCCACAGGCCTGGCACTTGAGACAACTTTTCAGCTGGCCCACAAACAGATCTGGACAGAAGCAGAGGGACAGAGCAGAGAGTCACCGCTGGATGCCTGAGACATCCAATACCTTTCTCCGACACCGGTCTCCTCTCGCCCCAGCATCTGGCCCGCCAGTTCCCACTACCACCACTCCAAGTGAATACTCCACACCTGTCCCCTTTTCGTCATTCAGTCTTGTTCTCACTCCCTTTAACAGTGTCAACTGTTTCTTATTTTTCCCGAGCCTGTGCGCCCACTTCCACTCATTTCCCCCATGCTTTCTGTCCCATTTCATACCCACAATCTTGCTGTCCTCTCGCTCCAGGTAACGTTTCCACATTAGGTTGGCTCGGTCATCATCACTACCACAGATCAAGGAAGTGGGGAACACCCATGAGATGGCAGGAGCACTGGGAGACCCCTCCACCCTGAACATGATCCTCGGGGCCCTGGGCCTGACCCACACCCCAGCTCCTGCCCCAAGTTCCTAGGACAAGTCAAAGGAATAATGCTTTAAAGGACTTTGGAGGGGGGATCTGAGCTGAAGAGAAATATATACAGGGTCAGGGCATGCTGTCTTTCTCCCCCTGGCTCCACACCCTTTGCATGAATTCTGCTATAAACTGTCCCCTCTCCAGCTCAGGGGCACCCCTAGGGCTCTCCTCTGCCCCCATCTGTGCCCCTAAGTCTTCCTTCCTTTTGCTTCTGCATGGGTTTCTTACACTATTTTCCACGCTAACGGGCTTCCCAGACCTCCCAACTCCAACCTTGACTAGCTGCAGTCTGTGGAGGCAGAACGCTGCTGCCGAGCTGCTGGGGACGGGAAGGGCGGGCCAGCAGCCCTTACCTTAGCTCAGGTTCCTCGAGCAGAGCCCCTCCTCGGCAGGGTGGAGAGGGAGTGGGCCCACTGGCCAGGATGGCAGGAGTCCGGCGGCCTCGGCGGTTGATTTCAAGGTGCAGCCGCTCCATGAGGAGCTTCAGGAACTCTTGGGCATCCTGCTGGCTACAGCCAGACAGAGTGTGTGGGCCACCATGTGTCCTTGCCCACACTACTCCTGCCCCAACACAGTCCCCACTTGCAAGATAAAAATGTCTTGAGGTTTAGAAGGACAACTGCCAAGACCCCTGCTGGAGGGCCTGACATAACCAGCTCTCCCACCTGTATCCAGAGAAGGAGGGAACGTATTTCTGGAAGACGGCTCGGAATCGAGTAGGGTTCACAGCTTCGCAGGAGTCAGGGTGCCAGAGGGCACCAATTACATCTGCAAAGGCTGTCGGGATAAAAGTGGGGAAACAACAACGATGAACAACTGGAAGTGGCCAGCAGAAGAGGGCTCACACGGTGGTAGTAAGCCTGTGACAAAAGTAGGCACTAGGGAAAATGGATACGGCCAGATCCAAGGGCTCAGGACCACTAGCACAGGCAGAGAAGGGGGAAGGGGACTTGACTGCAGGCTGCGGGAGTTGGTGCCCCCACCTTCAGTGAGCTCTTGGGCTCGGCCCCCTCCAGGCACCTCTTGCCGGAAGTCCCTCCGCAGACAGAAGTCCCGAAGAGGCCGGGTGCTGCTCAAACACTGTAGCACGGCGTTCAGGAAGCACTGGGGGTGGTGGGAGGGAAGGGACACTGCCATCAGGTCTTCAGACCGCTGTCCCAGGAGCCCCAAGAGGGTGTCAGGACACACAGGGGGCGTTTCCACCCACCCCCTGCCACACATACACTTCCACATTGCTTCTAGAAAAGCACAGAATGGCTCTCACCGTGTTGCCCAGGTTTCGCAGGCCTACGTGCCCAGAGCCCAGAAGCAGCGTGTGATGAGCCTAGGGGAGGAGCCCACAATCAGCCAGCTCCCATTCGCTCTGCTCTCCTCTCCGCTGCACAGGAGTTTCTCAGCAGCAGGCTGCCCACTGCCTCCCCCGCCTCACATGTGCTTCCCCCCGCCAACTCCACCCCCTCCTTCCCTGGGTACCGCAGTCTCCCTACCTCATTGGCCAAGAGCAGCAGGCCCATCACGGCCGAGTGCACCACAGACTCGGCCACAGCTGTCCCACCTGTCCCCCACTTACTCCTCTGCCCGGATAGTCTGCGTTGCAGCTCCTGGGGCAACTCTCCAAGCACTGGCATTGTTGCCCAACTGCTCCCCACCCCCACCCTGCTACCCCCAAAACCCCCTCCTGCCCCCGTGGCCCCTTCCTGCTGGCTCCAGCTGCGATCTGCCCACTCAGCTCAGAAAATGGGCAACCACACTAGCTGAGATGTTCTAAGCCCAGCCCCTCTTTGGCTCCAGGGACTAATTAAGTCTGCGCACAGTCCTCGTAGAGGAGTACTGAGGGACAGCAAAGGCCTGGGGACCCAAAGAGAAGAATTTGGAATAGCTGGGTGAATTCCCTGGGAGCCAAAATGGCACGGCATGCTGGAAAACCTGAAAAGGGCCTAGGTGGCTCTAGAAGAAAGGAGGGGCTGACAGAGGAACTTGGAGAGCAGGCGAGCAGGAAAGCCACAGGATGGTAAGAAAGCTGGAGTGGAGGCGTACAGGAACAGGGGTATAGCAGGCCCACGTGTGCTGCCAAGTCCTCACCATCTTGTCATTGGAGTAGAAAGGCTCTGAGGGCCGGGCAGACAGCACATGGAAGGAGCCGTGGGAAGGAGGGGTCTCTGTCCGAATGCTGAGCAGGGTTGGGGGGCCAGGGAAGCCCCCGAGGCGGCGGAGGGAGGTGCTGCGTCTCAAAGTAGGAGGCTCTGGCCGCAGTGCCAAGCGGCTCAAGGCAGCCCCCAGCTCACTGGCACCACGGTGCCCTCCTAAGGCAATCCCCATCGGACGCAAGTCCCCACTGCTCACAGACTTGGAACGTGTTAAGTTGGTCCGGGATGGCAGAGGCAGAGCCACAGTTGGGGGCGGTGAGCCGGGCAGGGGAACCCCATGATCAGCCCGCAGGGGCCCTCTGGGCCGAGAGCCTGAGGTCCGTCCCCGTCCCAGCTCCAGTTTCTTGAGTCGTTCATCTGGAGGGCCTGGCCGGGGAGGCAGAGGTCGTAACATGGGGTTTGGCCCAGGGACTGGGGTGCGACGCTCCTTGCTGCGGGCCCGAGGGGCAAACGGTAGCTTGGATCCCACTCGGGGCTGCACACTAAGAGGTGGCTCTCGGGTCCGGCCCAGGCGGTGTTCAGAGGCCTGGGGCATTGTGGACACCACAGGCTGGACCTGGGAGGAGAAAAGAGGATCAGTATTTGAGTATGACAGATGGGAAACCCAGGCTACCATACATGCAACTCTGAGAGCAGAAATCAATTAGTGTATTCCCAGTCTAGACCTCGGGGCTTGGCACAAAGTAGATACTTGGCATCCCTTTGACCAAGCAAATGAGTGAATGCCATCATCCTTGCTGTACCTTCCAACCCCCTCCCTGAAAATGCAGCTTTACAGGGACTATTGCTAGCTTCTGCTAGTGGGTGGTCTTTATAAAGCATCTATGAGACCACAGCAAGGGTGGTCTTTATATAAATTATCAACGAGATCATAGCAAGGGCCCTCATACCTGGCTAGCCAAGTGGAATGTGTTCTGGGTCACATAGGACCGGGGGTCAGATGTGAGTGCGGGTGTAAGGGTAACAGCTCAGAAGACAGCATATTCCCTCCTCAAGCCCCTGGCCCTCCTCGTTGCAAAAGAAGCGGACTATGTGGGTGACTTGCGATCCATTCCCTCCCCCACTTCCAAGCGCTGACACTAGGTCAGGGCTAGGTAGGGGGGTGGGGGTGGGAGTGGTCCTGCAAGGAGGAGCAACTCCTAGACCCCCTTATCTCTGCACCTCTCCCACCTCAGCAGGGTTTTACCCGGATCCGCCCCCCTCGAGGGCAGAAAGGCCGCGGCCGCTGATTGGCTACGGGTCCGGCGCGTATTCCCCGCGGTCGGGGAATGCTGTCCCTCCAGTCTCGTTCTCCCAGGCCCCGCTGGCTCCGCCGGCGCCTCTGCCTTTGGGGCGAGAGTCCTCTTGGGTCTGGAGTAGTCTTCTCGCGGCCCTCCATTGCACCACCTCCCCCCAACCCCAACGCCATAACACCCCGGACCCGTACCTGTCCCCCGGTGAGGCGGCGGGGGAGGCCAGCTGGGGCCAGGCCCCAGCTCAGGGCCACCCCGTTTTGCCCCCGAGCAGCCCCCTCGCGGGCCTGGCTGCAGCTTTAGCCGCAGTTGTTGCCCAGATCTCTCCCGCCGCAGGGGCTGCCGCCATCTTTGTTGGTCCCGCCCGGCCACCAGCCACCGGCTTCACCGTCTCTCAGAGCGCCTGCGCACCCACGCTCGGCTCCCTCCCACCCACCTCCTTGGCGCTTGCGTGAGCCCGCCCAGCTGGCTCGGCCGCCGACACCATGGAAACGCAGCCAACTTTAGGACCGCTAGTTCCCAGCCCTGCCCCAGAGTGGTCTTTAAATCACCGCTCCAAAGCCAGTCTCGAGGTGTAGGGTCCCTGTCGCCTTCTCCGTGGCCCACAGGGACGCAGATCCAACAGAACTAGACTTGCAGCACAGATGCTTCGCAGTGGTGTGTGTCCGGCTGCAGGCCTGGGTCTAGGCTGCAGAACATTGGAGAAGCATCTAGCACTCCACACAGGGATGAGAAGATCCCTGGAGGGCAAGGAATGCTGGCTCTGCAAAACCGTTTCTTAAGCTTCTTGCAGACCACAGTCGTGGGGCGAGGCATGGCTCACCGCCAACAGCCGAAGGCAGGTATCAGCAGCAGGGAGAGCAGTCATTTTTTCCTTCCTTGTCCAGCTGCCGACCACAGCATGTTACATTTCCCTTCCCATTCCAACCTACTACAGTTGTTCTCGTGCCTCTGTTAAAAGCCCCCAAGGAGAACCACCAGTGAACAGAGGAAGCAGGTTTCTATTTTATTGATGGGTTGTTTCCGAACACAAAAAAAGCCATATACTCACTTTCAGTTACCCCTATGCCTCCAAGATCTCACACAGTTCCACCTTAGGAGAGAATAAACATTGCCTCTTCAATTTCCAAGGCTCAAATCCTTCCTTTCCCTGTGCAGCCTAATTTAGCAACTCAAAAGATACTGTGTATATGAACCGCCCCTAGCAATGCCTGCTGCAGCTACTTAGTAACAGCTAGAGGAGGGGGAGTTGGGAGGAAGCAGTCAGATGAGTGACAAGAGTGATGCACAGGGAAACAGGATGGTAGCCTCTTAAAGGTCCCCGTGTCCCTCCTCGGTGGCTTCGTCTTTCATTGGCTGCATTTCTCTTTGTGCTGAATCACGCCCTTCTGGATCAGATCAGGGATTTCCACTGCCAGCCATGGCCCCAGCTGCAAGACAAGGGAGACCCCGTGAGAAGAACACCCTTGCAGTCAGTGCCTCTTGTTGCACAACTCGCTCCTGCTGGAGGGAAGGAGCCCAGCGGACAGTAATGGAATTCCTCGTTTACCTTTGGCTCCTTTCCCCCTACCTTCCAGGGCCTCCCCTTCCTGTATGTACACATACAAACTTACCCCCAGAGCCATGAGATGAGCTAGTCCAAACTTGGGCACATTCCTGGCCCACAAAGGTTTGAAGTGATCAGTCAGGCATATTTTGCCACCCCTGTGAGAGATACAAGAGGAAGGCGTTGGGCCGGGCGGCGTGGCCTAGAGGCTAAAGTCTCGCCTTCAATGCGCCGGGATCCCATATGGCCGCCAGTTATAATCCCAGCAGCTCCACTTCCCATCCAGCTCCCTGCCTGTGGCCTGGGAAAGCAGTCGAGGACGGCCCAGAGCTGTGGGACCTGCAAACCACATGGGAGACCTGGAGGAAGTTCCTGGATCCTGGCTTCGGATTGGCGTAGCACCAGCCGTTGTGCTCAGTTGGGGAGTGAATCATTGGATGGAAGTTCTTCCTCTCTGTCTCTCCTCCTCTCTGTATATCTTTGTAATAAAAATGAATAAACCTTAAAAAAAAAAAAAGAGGAAGGCGTTGACCTGTGCAGCTTATCTTAGCACAGGAAGACTACCAGGGTTCTTAGGATCTTGAGCCTGGACCAGGGACAGGAATTAAGAACGAGGGCAATGAATATTCTGGCCAGGCTCATCTGAGGGAGGCACAGAGCCTTTCTGATCAGAGGACCGGGAAAATCTCCGAGTTCTTCCTTGGAACTTTCTAGGGGCCTTTCCCATATTCCATGCAGTCCTACCTGTACATCTTGGCTGTCTTTCCATCCAGCTCGGGGACTGCAATTTCTGGAGCTGTAGTGGGATATGTGATAGGAATCTGGAGGAACCACAAAGTATTAGGAAAACAGAACAGGCCAGCAAGGAACTAATCTAGGCAAACACTTATTCGCTGGCTAAATGGAAGTGTTCAGCAACCGCCCCAAGCAGCATGTACCTGTCAGGAGACAAGTCATTGTACCTTACACTTGCTTCACACTTCAGCTTTCCCCTCCCATTTGAAGTGTCCCTTCGTCCTTTCAAGAAAGATGAACTTGGTAACAACCACCCACCTCCCCTTCCACTAACTTTTCTATCTCCCACTCCAACACACTCACGTCAAACTCGATGTCAAACTCATACTTGAGGAGGTCATGGATGTACCAGCATTTTCCAAACCACCTGTAACAAAGATCAAACCTCAGTGCAATTTTCTCATTTTTCCCACACTCAGAAACATTTTGGCTTGGGCCACCAGCCTGGACGATTCATGGGGTGGGGAACAAGGGAACTGTGAGTCTAGGAGAGTGGAGACAGCCAACATGAAGCAGGGAGGCACTCTGGCCATGGGGCTTTGGGATATGAAGTTGCTTAAGATGGGTAAGACTCCCACCCCATACCTCCCAAGAGGGTCTGCCTACCGAGTCCCTTCCTTATTGGACTCCAGTCGGAACCAATCATTGTCCGCATTCTTGTTGTTCTCCACATACTAAAAGCAGAGAATAAAGTGTATTAGCAGGGGTTGGAGCCAAGGGCAATTCCCCCACCCCTCCAAAAGTGTTTGATCATTTCTTTATTCTTTTCTTTTTTTTGTATATTTTCTCAGCTTTTCTGACAGAAGCAAAGCTGAAGGCAGAGCTACAGTTGGCAAGCGGCGGGGGAGGGGGCATGGGGGGGTTGCAAAGAGCAGCGAATACAGTGGTTGGGTTCCACTCAGTCTAGTAGGCACAGAAAATTTAATGATATCATCTGCATTCTATTTCACTTGTTTTAAGATTTATTTTTTATGTATTGGAAAGGCAAAGTAATAGGAAAAGAGAGGGAGAAGTAAACCTCCATTGGTTCACTCCCCAAATGGCCAGAATGAAATGAGCGGGGTCAGGCTGAAGCCAGGAGCTAGGGGCTTCTTTTGGAGTCTCTCATGTAGGTACTGCAGGCCCCAAGCACTTGAGCCATCTTGTTATTTTCCCTGGCATATTAGCAGGGAGGTAGATCAGAATTAGAACAGGGTAACTCAAATCTGTGGCTACATAGGATGCTGGTATTGCAGGCAGCAGCTCAACTGTACTACACTACAACCCTGCCTCTCAATTGCACTTCTTCTAGTTTTTCACTCAATCCCTAGCTCATTTCATGGTATACTTCCCCCTGAAGAGCAATGTTAATCTTGGTTTCTACTAACACCCAAATTTTTTTTTTTAATTTATTTTTTTTATTACATTGCATCATGAGACACAGTTTTACAGGCACTGGGATTCCCCCCTCCCCTCCCCAAAACCCGCTCCCCCCCCCATGGTGGATTCTTCCATCTTGTTTAGAGCCTTACAATTTTACAATTCTTTGATGTAGATCAGAAGCAGTCTACTCATATCGATTATTGATTCCTTGATTACTTCACAATATCTTATTGCATGAGATACAGGTTGTTTGGGGTTGAAATAATATTACTGTTTCAGATTGACATCAATTTATAACAACCACATCAACAACAACACTAACAACATCGACAACAAAGTATATCACCCTGAAAAAAAGTAACACCACTGAATAGCCAACACATGCATGACAAAAAGAAAACACAGAAGTCTCTCGGGAAAAATGGTGCCATCATATACTTCATAAGCACATGATGAATTCTACTAGAGAATAAAGATTATTTGGAAGCAACCAAACTGAAGTAAAAACATCAAAAAACCAGCATAGATTGGACTGTTGGAGTTACCCTTTCCATGTTGGCTTCCTTATATGAGAGAGAATATATGGTATTTGTTCTTTTGTGATTGACTCATTTCACTCAGCATAATGGTTTCTAGTTGGGACCACCTGGTTGTAAATAGAATAATTTTGTTTTTCTTAATAGCTGCATAATATTCCATGGAGTAGATATACCACAGTTTCTTTAACCATTCTTCCTTGGACGCACATCTGGTTTGCTTCCACGTCTTTGCTATTGTAGATTGTGCTGCTATAAATATAGAATTACAGATCCCCTTCTCACAGGCAGATTTCACACCTTTTGGGTATATTCCTAGGAGCGGGATAGCTGGGTCATATGGCAGGTTTATTTGCAATTTTCCCAGCACTCTCCATACTAATTTCCATAGTGGTTGTACTAGCCTACACTCCCACCAGCAGTGAAGGAGGGTACCTTTCTCCCCACATCCACGCCAGCAGGTGTTGTTATTCGAGTTCTGGGTAACACCCAAATTTTTATATTTAGCCTGGATCTTTCCTTAGAGAGGGATAGGGAACCAAGGGCAATTTGAATATTTATAACATCATTCATGGGCCATTTAAAATTATCAACTTGAGGGCCCAGCACCATAGCCTGCCAGCTAAAACCCTTGCCTTAAATGCGCTGGGATCCCATATGGGTGCTGGTTCCAATCCCAGCAGCCCCGCTTCCCATCCAGCTCCCTGCTTGTGACCAGGAAAAGCAGTCGAGGTTAGCCCAGGGCTTTGAGACCCTGCACTCGTGTGAGAGATCCAGAAAAGGCTCCTGGCTCCTGACTTCAGATCGGGTCAACATCGGCTGTTGCGGCCACTTGGGGAATGAATTAGCTCTTTTTTTGTGTATCTGACTTTCCAATAAAAATAAATAAATAAATCTTTTAAATTAAACTGTCAACTTGAAAACAGCCTAGGAGCTGCTGTTACGGCATAGACAATTAAGCTCCTGACTGCAGCACTGGCATCCCATGTGGGAGCTGATTCAAGTCCCAGATGCTCTACTTTTGATTCAGCTCCCTGCTGATGACACCTAGGAAAGTCACGTGGAAGACTATGTGCAAGGTTCCAGGCCTGTTTCAGCCATCTGAGGAATGAATCAGCAGGTGAAAGATCTCAGACTCTCTGAAGCTTTGCCTTTCAAATGAATCAACACATAACCACATTTTTAAAATTAGCTCGTGACAGATTTCCTGAATTTTGAGTCCCAACTGCAGTTGAATTGGCAGGTTTAGACCGAAGGAGTTCTTTCTTTTCTTTTCTTTAAGCTTTATTTATTTTTACTAGGAAGTCAGATGTAAAGAGAGGAGACACAGAGAGAAAGATCTTCCGTGTGATGACTCACTGCCCAAGTACAGTCATCCTTTGGCTGTCCTCTATTGCTTTCCCAGGCCACAGATAGGGAGCTGGATGGGAAATAGAGCATCCAGGACATGAACTAGCACCCATATAGGATCCTGATGCCTGCAAGGCAAGGACTTTAGCCACTAGGCTACAGCCGAGCCTGTTTACAGGGTTTCATGGGCCTTATGTGTCCTGGAGTTTGGATTTTCCTCTCCCCTGCCCTAGAACTTCAGAGTAGAGTATCCAACTATATGCTGAAATTTCAACCTTCATTTCACAGGTACCTAAAACTCAGCACTCTCATCTGAAACTTTTACTTTTTTTCAGACCTGTTCCTCTTCTTCCTCCTGGGAGCCAGTCTCAGGCTTCCGTCTCTTCACGACGGCCTGATGATGACTGTTCCTACTGAACATTCTGCAGCGCCACCTTCCTCTCCATCCTCACTGCCTTGTTCAGATCATTAATTCATGACAACATCCTTACTTGTGTTCTACCTTCAGTCTTACTCCAGCCAAGAGCGTTTTCCTTTTCTCAATCTCTATTGTCATTGTCAATGACATAAAACCAAATCTGCCCCTGTTATTCTTCAGCTTAAAGGCTTTACCAAAGCCTCCAAAATACATTTCAAGTACTGAGATCTACCTCCCTCGCCTAGGTTCCCGGTCCCTGCTTCACACTGGATGCTCCAGCCCCTCTGAAGAGCTCCATTTCTTCATCTACATCAAGCCATTTCTAGCTTCCACACCTTTATTCACATTGTCCTTATGCTCAGCGGAAGTCTTGTCCCACTTGTGTTTTACAAGCTAACTTATGTTTACCCTTCAAACCTCAGTTCAATCATTACTTCTTTCAGGAAGCCTTTTCTGATCAAACTCATCTTGAATTAGTTATCTGTCCTCATGCTCCCATAAAATACCAGCCATTTCTGGGTCTGTCTGTTGCCTCTCCAGTCACAGCGTGGTAGGATATTTCTGTCTACATTATTCAGTTTTGTATTCCGTCCCCCCCACCCCCGGCTGCAAGGAAGCACATAATAATTTCCCCCCTGCGGGAAATGAATGCATGCAGGGCATATGAAGCATTTAGAGACCACTACATGGGAGACGAATTTCCTTTTCTTTCCATAGTAGGAAGATTAGCTGAGAAGTCTTTTTCTAACTCTGAGCTCTGATCTGCACATCTCTGCAACGAATACACGTGGATTTTCAGCCCTAAAGAGCATCTCTGCCTCAGGAGGAGTGCAAGGAGCAGAAACAGTTAAATTTGGGACCCCCGCCCCCCAGAAGTACTTAGATCGCCTCTTCTGCATCTAGCAGAGTGAATACCAGAGTCAGAAAGACACGTCACCTTCCGGAGAGGCGTGGCCCTAACATAACCGGTATGTTTAATCGGAAAGTCTGGCCCCATTGCGCTCGTAACCTAAGCTGTTCTGCCGCCTCCCCACCATCCCTCCTTAATAATTCCTCAGCCCCCAAATCATCCCGTTTCTGTAAATTTGGGAGGTAAAAATTTCCAAAACCGGAAACGGCTTCCACACGGAACCTATTCCTGAGGACACCCAGTTACCGGCAACACCTCTGGAGACGCGGATGGTGGTAGAAATACAACTGACCCGGATAAGGGACTGATATTCCTCCTTCAGTCGCTGCACCCACAACTCCCGATCTCGGGGTCCGGCGTTGGTCTTCAACACCGGGATCTCAGAAACAACACGTCGTGTTGCCTCGTCCGCCATCTTGGGCCAGGGCAGAAGGGCAACACGGAAGTGGTGTTGCCTGTATTTAGGCTCAGACACCACCATCTTTACTATGGGAAGATGAGGCGTTACGTCTCTTTAAGACTTTGTACGCGATCTAATTCCTCCTGACAAAGACAAATTAGTCACCTGGTCACCCGCTGATGGGTACATCAGGAAAACAGAATGGAAACGGATTGCTGTTTCTGGAATATGATACCTGTAATTAAAATCACTGCAGGTGGCTCAAGGGTAACTTCCGTTCATGCTCAGAATAGCGACCTCAGAAAACTTTGGAACGCCTCCGCAAGTCTGAGAGTTAGAACTTCAGGCTCTTCTAAGGCACCCTTCAGGCTTCCTAAAACGCACAATTTGAGTGCATCCACTTTTAAGAAACCTTAGTGTGCATATATAGTCCTGCTGAGGTGGGAGAATCCAAATAAAATATTCATTAGAAAGATGTTAAACTGGGAAATTATTAGAAACCAAGTCAAAGCATGGTACATTCCTACCATTTCTGCCCAGAAGAATTAAGACTTTGAAATTAGGGAATTCTTAATTATTATTATTAGCCCAGAACAGGCATTCATTGACTGAGTTCTAGACCGTTTTTTGAATGGAAATTAACTCATCCAAAACCAAACCGTGTCTTTCTACCCTCAGTGTTTAATACACAATGGTTATTCAGTAATCTTTTGGAAAAATCTGTGCCTTCCATTAGGTTTCAAAACCTAAACACTGTCCAGCATTTTGGAAAAGCAAGTTAAGTCAGTCTCTGCATTGCCATCCCGGATGGGATCATCTGGGATCATCAGTTGGAGTCCTGGCTGCTCCTCTTGTTCGTGGAGCAGAAGCTACTCCTGAAGGAACTGAGTTGATCCCAAAACAAGGAAACTTATCACAAGCCAGGAAAAGCCTGGTAACCTTGAAGCACTAATCAGCGGATTAAATCCCAGTGCTAGTTCTCCTTCCTGCTTGCCTCCAACCATCAACAACAGAAGAGAGCTCCGTTAGCCTCAGTGCTATCTTTACCAACGTCAAACAGACACTCCCATGCAGACATATTTTAAAGGCTGAGTCTGCACAGAAGGTCTACGCCTTCCATGAATACACACTGCACATACATCCACGGATCTAACCTGCTACCACCAAGGACATCCCGGAGGCTGAAGCTCTTCACCAAAACCAACCTAAAAGGCTGTATGTTCCCGCGAGCCTCCTAAACGACTCAAGGTACTTTCCAAAAGGACTTTTGATAAGTAACTTCTCTTTTTAAAGTAACTTTAATTAAAGTAACTCTAGTTAATAAAGCAACTTTAATACTACTTGAAATGGGACTCACCACGGCCCCTTGCCTTGTCTTTTTTTTTTTCAAAAAATTGTCCATGCTCAAATGCAGAAAATTTCTGATCAAACCTTTAACCAGCTCCTCTTACAGGACTATCTGCTTCTCCCACCAACCATTCTTTCCCCAACCACTGTGAGATCATTGCTTAGATGACCCAACACCCCAGTTCATCTCAAAGAAGCTATGGAGAACAACTCCCCTTTTCCTTTATATAGAACTTAGAGAGGAATGTAAAGAGTGACTCAACAGTGACCCCAAGACTGACCCCAGTATGCTGGACTCAGGGCCACCTTGAATGCCTGTTTACCCATTACTACTACCTTAAATCTGCTAGGTCTCAGCCCCCTTAAGGTTAACTTGCCCAAGTAAGCTTTGTGACCTTCAGGTTAAAACCCAGTGCCCCACCAATCCCCTGAGGCATTTATCCCATCCCTAGTGTCCACCTATAGCTGTATCTGCCAATCTGCCATCCCTGACCTTGCATACCCACCTTGAGGCTATAAAGATGCCTCTTCCCTTTGGTTTCTTTCTCTCTCATCTCCTGCGCTCTCTTTCTGCTCTTCTCCTCATCCTCTTCTTTGCTCTTCTATCTGTCTCTCTCCACTCCGCTTTCTCTCTACCCCACAGCTACTTCCCTTGCTGAAATAAAGGACCCTCATATGGCTCATCTGCTGTGTCTGGTGTCTTGGGTTTGTGCAAAAAGCTAATCCTTCTTCAGGGATGAACTTCTGTGCCCCTGTCTTTCACAGGACCAGTCAGGGTGATTCTGGCCATTTGGTAAGTGAGCCGTTAAATAAAAGACCTCTCTCTATATATCTGTATATCAGATTTATTTTTATTGTAAAGGCAGATCTATAATGAGAAGGAGAGACAGACATAAAGATGTTCCATCCATTAGTTCATTCATTCCACAAATGGCCATAGTGGCCAGAGCTGAGCTGATCCAAAGCCAGGAACCAGGAGACTTGTCTGGATCTCCCATGTGGTTGCAGGATCCCAAAAACTTGGGCCAACTTCTGCTGCTTTCTGAGGCCATAAGTGCAGAACTGAATCAGAAGTGGAGAGCTGGAACACAGACCAGCCCCCATATGGTACACTGGCATTGCAGGTAGAGGATTAGCCTGTTGAGCCACTGTGCATTCCCCTCCTTCTCTCTCTCTCTCTCGATCTCTTTTTCCACATCTCCAGCCATAACTATGCCTTTCAAATAAATGTTTTAAAAGTATTTTTTAATCCTAAACACACTAGTTTTGATTCTAATCTAAATGTCTTGTTTATTCAGTGAGTTAGTTCCTGCATTTGGCAGTAATTATGGACCTATCTCTAGCAATCAACAAATTCATCCATCTACAAATTTGGTAAGCATGCTACCTCTTGTCAAATAATCCTAGCTGAGACCTCTGTTGAAAAAAGTGTTGAGAGCAAATATTCTTTTCTTGTTCTGATTTTAGAGGGAACATGAGCCAGTCTTTTCCCTTGAGTATGATGTTATTTGTGGTTTATTTTTAAAGTCAATTAGTTTTTAAAAAAAGAATTATTTATTTTTATTGGAGAGTCAGATATACAGAGAGGAGGAGAGACAGAGAGAAAGGTCCTCTATCCAGTGATTCATTCCCCAAGTGGCTGCAACAGCTGGAGCTAAGCTGATCCGAAGCTAGGAACCAGGAGCCTCTTCCAGGTCTCCCATGAAGGTGCAGGGTCTCAAGGCTTTGGGCCATCCTCGACTGCATTCCCAGGCCACAAACAGAGCTGGATGGGAAGCAGGGCCCCCAGGACATGAACCTGCATCCGTATGGGATACTGGCGCATGCAAAGCAAGAACTTTAGTGACTAGGCTGATGCGCCGGGCCCATTTGTGTGTTTTTAATAAATTATCAGATTCAGGAATCCCCTATTTCTGGTGTGTTCCCAATTTTTATTATAAATAAATGGCAGGATTTTTTTTTTTAACTTTAATACTTTTTTTCTGTGTGAATTGAGGTGATTGTATGTTTCTTTCCTTTTGTTAGCATGCTGTGTGGCTCATAAAAGCTTGCATAAACTCCAGGGCAAAGCTCTGTAATAGCTCACTAAGATGTTTCTCCCAGGTCATTCCATTTTGGGTGTTTGCACATGGTGTGGTACAGAGAGAAGAGGTTTGGAATGAGGTTTTGCAATTTAATTGTGATAAGACTTTGGAGAGTTAGTTTATCTCTGTGAAATGCATTTTTTCATCCATAAAAGGAGATTAATAATTCTTTTAAGGCTATTATGACTACAGATGCAATAACTCCTCAATCATTCACTTAACAGACATTCAGGAAAAAATTCAGGTAAACAGGAGCAGCTTTCAAACATTTATGTAATAGTGAAACCAGTTTTGCAAAATCTGAGAGCATGAACGTGGCCAATGGGGAGCTTCTGTTGTCCCAGTGCAGGCAGGGGCCCGTTAGCCCCAAGAATACTCTCCCCTGTGACAACCACGCAATGTATTTCACTAGATTTTTAATTATATTTGATATCCTGGAAACGCAATCAAGGTAGGTTTTGGTTATTGATATTGTTAAAACCTAATGCTATTTCTGGCACAGATTAAATATTCAATCAATATTTTTATTGTTAGTAAATACTTTGATACATAAGATAAACCTATAAAATGTCTTTTTTTTTTTTAGAAGATTTGTTTATTTTTATTGGAAAGTCAGATATACAGAGAGGAGGAGAGACAGAGAAGATCTTCTGTCCGATGATTCACTCCCCAAACAGCTGCAACAGCTGGGGCTGAGCCAATGTGAATCCAGGAGCCTCTTCCAGGTCTCCCACACAGATAGAGTCCCAAGGTTTTTGGCTGTCCTCAACTGCTTTCCCAGGCCACAGGCAGGGAGCTGGATGGGAAGCAGGGCTGCTGGGATTAGAACTGGCGCCCATATGGGATCCTGGCACATTCAAGGTGAGGACTTTTGTGGCTAGGATATGGCGCCAGGCTCGAAATGTTGTCTGTTTTGTTTTGTTTTGTTTTTTTTAGATTTATATATTTTTATTGCAAAGTCAAATATACAGAGAGGAGGAGAGACAGAGAGAAAGATCTTCCATTCGATGATTCACTCCCCAAGTGGCCACAATGGCTGGAGCTGAGCTGGTCTGAAGCCGGGAGCCAGGAACTTCCTTCAAGTCTCCCATGCAGGTCCCAAGGCTTTGGACCATCCTCAACTGCTTTCCCAGGCCACAAGCAGGGAACTGGATGGGAAGTGGAGCTGCTGGGATTAGAACCGGCGCCCATATGGGCTCCTGGCACGTTCAAGGTGAGGACTTTAGTCACTAGGCCTACGTGCTGAGCCAAAATGTTGTCTTTTAAAGCTGTATGTTGGGCCTGTTGCAGTAGCCTAATGGCTAAAGTCCTTGCCTTGCATGTTTCAGGATCCCATATGGGCACTGGTAGGTATCCTGGCTGCTCCACTTTCCTTCCAGCTCCCTCCCTGTGTCCTGGGAAAGCAATAGAAGACAGCCCAAAGCCTTGGAACTCTGTACCCACATGGGAGACCCTGAAGAAACTCATCTGAGCTCCTACTGTTGCAGCCACTTAGATAGTAAACCAGCGGATGGAAGATCTTTGTCTCCTTTTCTCTCTGTAAATCTGACTTTCCAATTTTTAAAAAAAATATATATATATATTTTTAAAAGTTATAAAACTGTATGTGGTTTTTGTTTCATTGGTTTGAAAAATTACATTGAAGCATTTAGTGAAGTAGAGG